CCTCCTCCTCTCCTCCTCCTCCTCCTCCTCCTCCCCCTCCTCCCCCTTCCCTTTCCCCATCCCCCCCAGGGGGCCGACGCCAGGAGCAGAGTGCACCGCGTCGGGCCGCCAGAAGGAGGGAATCGCGCAACAAAAACGCCGAGGAGCCGCCTCGCGTGGCCGCGCTCCGCCTCCTGGCCCCTGGTGCTCCGCGAGCGTGCTCGGAGAATCGAGGCCCCCCGGAGATCTGCAGCCGAGCGTGTCGAACGCTACCCTGAGGGGTGCGCGTTGCGTCCCGGGGCAGCCAGGCTCCCAGGGTGCATCCTGGGCACCTTTCCGGGCTGTGCCGCGCCGTGGCGACAAAAGAACCAAGGTCCGAGAGCCTCGAATATATCGACCCTCGAGGCTCGAGGCTCGAGCCTGGAGTCCCGACCGCTTACTGCTTCCCCAGGGGTTACTTTCAAGTAAAGAACACGCACCCCGACCCCCCGAATTGGCGTCTGCCAAACGGCCAGGGGCGTTTACGAATCAGGCAGGCCCTGCTCGATATTCCATCCTTGGGTACGTTTACTAAGCGGCGTCCCTTGTCGGGGTGCTTCTTGGGAGGGTGTTTTTTTCTGCTCTGTAATTTGCTTGTCCTGGATCAGTCTTTCGATGGATCTGAAGCCCGATAATTGCCCCCAAGGGCCGGCATCGCAGAAGAGCACGCCGGCTGAACAGGTCACGTCGCCGAAGATTTGCCACAGGGTCCGTAAAATACTTGCATGCCCAATGTGATCCAGACATGGTTCAAACTGAGATGGATGCGTGAGGCTGCACGTCGAGGTGCAGTTTAGAATCGACGCCTCGCAGAGTGTGAGCCCGGCAGCTGAAAAGATCACGTCAGCGGCGAGTCTGGCGGGGAACGCGCGAAGCGGCGGGCCCTCTCGGAAGGCTCCGATGCTCCCCGGCCTCCCGAGAAGTCTGCCGAGCCTCCCCGAGAGGCGCCCAGAGACCTCTCGGAAGGCGCGAGGGCCTCAGAAGTCCCGCCGCCTTGTGAGAGAAGGCCCTCTCCTTCTCGCTTCCCCCTCGCACTGGGGATGTTTACCAGCCTGGAACATATCCCTATCCCTATGCTGGGCACCTCCTCATCACGATGCCAATCTTAGGGACTCCCTTATTTTTTGAGGGCGAATCCCTAAGATTGTCATCGCCCTTTGGCGTGTCAATCTTAGGGATAGGGATACGTTCGAGGCTGGTAAGATGTGGGGTTGCCGCGCGCGCGTGTTGGCGCGCGCGCTCGCCGCAGGCGGCCCTGGTCATCCGGCGGCTGTCGCAGCTGGGGCTCCTGGCCGCCCTGCCCCGCCCTCAGCACGCGCGAGGTAAGGAGCGAGGGGAGGAGAAGGAGGAGGAGGAGGAGGAGGAGGAGGAGGCGGGAGGAGGAGGAGGAGGAGGAGGAGGAGGAGGAGGAGGAGGAGGAGGAGGAGGAGGCGGGAGGAGGAGGAGGAGGAGGGGAGGAGGGGAGGCGGAGGAGGAGGAGGAGGAGGAGGAGGAGGAGAGGCGGGAGGAGGAGGAGGAGGCGGAGGAGGAGGAGGAGGGGAGGAGGAGGAGGAGGAGGAGGAGGAGGCGGGAGGAGGAGAGGAGGAGGAGGAGGAGGAGGAGGAGGAGGAGGAGGAGGAGGAGGAGGAGGAGGAGGAGGAGGCGGGAGGAGGAGGAGGAGGCGGAGGAGGAGGCGGGAGGAGGAGGAGGAGGAGGAGGAGGAGGAGGAGGAGGAGGGAGGAGGAGGAGGGAGGAGGAGGAGAGGAGGAGGAGGAGGAGGAGAGAGGAGGAGGAGGAGGAGGAGGAGGAGGAGGAGGAGGCGGGAGGAGGCGGGAGGAGGCGGGAGGAGGCGGGAGGAGGCGGGAGGAGGCGGGAGGAGGAGGAGGAGTTTTAAACCCGCGTGTGCGCGCGCATGCGTGGGTGCCTCTGGTCTCGGCACCCCGAGCGAGCGCGCAAGCGGCGCGCCCGTCGCGGGGTGGGCCAGCGGCCTCAGCACATGCCGCCTCTGCCTCCTCCCGTCGCCGCCGACTCCACGAGTCGCGGCTCCCATCAGGCGGCGGCAGGCTCGACGATGCTGCCGCCGCGAGCTCAGAGCTCAAGGAGCAGCCTGATGGAGGGTTTCTGCCGCTCCTCTGCCCTTCTCGCCTCCAAGGACCGCTCTGGCTGCGGTGCCCTGGGCCCCTGGGGCCTCTCGAGCTCGGGCGCTGGCGTTGCCGTGCGCAGCTCGGCGGGGCTGCTGGTGGCCCTGGCCTCTGGGCTCCTCCTCGGCTGTCTGGCTGAAGCCCTGCTTGTCACTCGCACTGCTGCTTGCGGTCGCGGGCTGCGGCTCCTCGCCGCTGGCTCAGTCACGCCCAGGAACTGCTCAGCCATCGCTCTGCGCCGCTCTGCCTCCTGCGGGTCCTGCTGCTGGATCTGCCTGCGCGCCTCTCCGCTGTTGAGCCATGCCAGGCGGCAGATCTCCTCCGCCGCTCGGCGCTGGCTGCGCTGGCGGCTCGGCCCTGGCACGTTGCTGAACAGCCTCTGGTAGACGCCAGTCTGCAGCGCCATCAGCACATGGGGCACGCACGCGGCCTGCCACGATGGCCAGCCCTGCTCGCCCTCTTTCTGGATCCAGCAGCCTGCCAGCGACTGCATGAGCTGCTCAAGCCTGTTCCTCTCGAGCCACGCCACCTCCTGCTCGGGGTCCTGGTCAGCATCTCCTTTGTTCTGTCGAAGCCTTGGGTGGAGCAGGCCGGCCTCATCGGCTTCGCTCACGAACTTCATCAGGTCGGGCCCCACTGGCTTGGTCAGCGTAACTGCCACCTGCACGGCCGTCTGCATCAGGCTGTTGGCGTCGTGACTCTAATCAGGTCTTACCATGGTCTCCATCTCCTGGTCGCTCGGCTCGCCCTCCAGCTCTGGGGCTCCACTGTCTGGGATCGAGTCATCATCGTCCAAGTTCTCAGGTGACCACTCTCGGCTGGCCTCCGCTGTTCTCGGCAGCGGCCTGCGCTCGCTGCTGGGGATGCTGTGCGCCAGGATGTTGTTCCTTCTGTTCTGGAAGGCGTCCATGTGCACTCTTGCTGCCTGCTGCCTTGTACCATGCGGGAGGGTAAGCATCCTGGTCATGAGCCTCCGTCTCGTGCGGTGCGTGTTGCGCCAGACGTCTTCGCAGAAGTCCTTGATCTGCTGAAGCTCCTGCGCGGTGACGGCCCTGGTCTGCTCTTGCGTGTCCGTTCTGCCACCCACATTGGTGATGGCCAGGAGGTACGGTACGCAGTGCTCCATCCAGTCGTCCATGTCGTCCCAGACCTCTTGGTCGACCATGTTCATCCACTGCTCCGCGTAGCCCTCCATGTGGTCCACGAGCCTCCAGCTGGCTTGGACGACAGAGTGCGGATGGCTGGGTGGTTGCTGTGGAGCTGGCTGCGGGTCCCCTGCCTCTGAGCTGTCCCCGTCCAGGTCGATCGCCTCGTAGTTACTCAGGCCGAGCTTGAAATCACCAGGCATGGTGATCTCGTTGAGACCCTCATCAGCTGGGTCTGCTGCTGGCTTAGCTCCTCTTGGCAGCTTGCCCCTCCGCATGTCCGCCAAGACCCGACGCCCTGCTGCTGTTAGGGGCTGACATGGCCTGGCCAGCTTCCTTGCCACTCCTGCCACGATCCTGCTCTTGTGGTCCCCGAGGTAGCTGGTGTCGCCACATTTCTCGCACCAGAGCCAGCCATGGGAGACCTGCGTCTTGTGGGAGAAGTGCACCACCTGCGTGCCGATCTGCACCGCCTTGAAGTCGAGCCTGACGTTGCCGTGCTGGTCCTGGTGGCCGCCGTACTTCCCGAGGCATTCTCCCGTCTCTGCCAGCCAGTCTCTGATGCTTTGTCCTTTGGCTGGGCCACTGCGACACGTTGCACACCACCATCGCGGATGTAGCTTGCGCAGGTCGTGTCCCAGCTGGGCTGCCCTGTCCCTCGCCGTCTGCGGCTTTCGGCGCTTGGCCTTGGGACGCTGAGGGGCCTTGTTGGGGTCCTCCACCGTCACCGCCATGTTGATGGCCAGCAGCCGGTTCTGCACCGCCGTGGTGAGCTGGTCCCTGATCTGCTGCTGCGCGATGATGGCTGGATCCAGTGCTCCATGCTCCGCTCCCCAGCCTGCGTACTTGTCTGCCATCTCGTTTCCTATGACCCACCAGGTGGGACCATTCCACCTCTCCAGCTCGGCTGGGTGCTCGATCAGGTGGCTTGGGATGTGGTGGCCCATGATGGTGTCCGTGCTGTTCTGCAGCTGCTGCTTCGTCTGGAGCCAGAGGTCGTAGTTCGTGCTCCTGTAGTCCAGGTCCTCGGGATCCTGGATCTGCTTGAGTGCGTCCAGGGCGTACTTGCAATCGCTGACTATGTTGAGCCCCCTGACTGTCGCCGCCGTGGTGTACCCGATGGCTTTGCTCATAGCGGTGAGCTCTGCCCGTGGCACCGTGTGCGGCGCCCTGATCGTGCCGTACCAGGCGGCCACTTCCTGCGGGCGTCCGTGCTCGTCGAACCTGAAGGCCACCACTGCCCAGCCGCAGCGTCTGAGGCGGGGGTCATTGGCCGTTGCCCCTGCACCACCTGAGCCGTCCGTGAAGACATAGTCTGCTCGAACCTTGTGCCCTGACTGGGCTGCCGCCTGAGCCTCTTCGCTGGTGCAGAAGATCTGCGCCGCCTTCGCCGCGTCCTCGTCTGGGTCAACCTTGGCTGCCCAGGCCGCTGGCGGGATGCCACGGAGCCAGAAGTGCAGGTCCTGCCGCTGGTCCAGCGCGTCCTTCGCCTTCTTCGCCAGGTCGGTGTCATTGCTGTGCCCTATCTCTGCGTTGGCAGGGCAGGCGTAGTAGCGGTGTTCCTCTGTCTCTATCGCCTCGCCGCATCTCGCGCAGGTGTCGTCGCCTTCTTGGTTGAGGTTGGCCACCCTGCGACGCTCCCTGGTCCAGATGCCCGCCACCGCTATGGTCTCCAGCATGGCTGCCTCTGCATGCTGTCCTTTGCGCCTCCTCCTCCTCAGGTGGCGCTGCAGCTGATAGAGGTCGCCACCTGCCTGAAGTCCTTCTCCACAGCGATGGCCAGCTGCCTGCTGCCAGAGCTGCTGCTGCGCGCTCTGCTGGACTTCGTGCAGGAGCGCGCCGAAGTGGGGATTGTCATCTGGCTTGTAGGCCCACTCGTCACCTGCTGGGCTGACCCAGCTGTCCAGGCGTCGCGGTATCCAGCCTAACCCGAGCAGCTGCACGATGACCCTTGCCATGGGCCCCTTGACCTGCTGCCACCTGCGGTTGGGTTCCAGGGCGTCCAGCTTGGCGTAGAGCAGGAGCCAGCCTCTCTGGTACCTCTTGAGCTCCGTCGGGTGGTCGACTATGGTGAGCCAGAACTGCTTGATCTGGTCGCCGATGGCTCGGGTTACCGCCTCTTGCATTCCCCTCTGGATCAGGAGGATGGTGGACGTGCAGCGTCCAGCCTTGTGTCCGCCTGTGAGGAGCGCTGCCTCCGTGGCCCTGACCGACTTCGCCTCCGTGGGCGTGATGCCGTGCGCTGGTAAGTCCCAGGCCTGCTGGCAGTAGGCCCCTGCTGAATAGACCTTTGCCGCGCCTCTGGCGTCCGTCTTCGCTAGGTCCTTGAGCTTGGCCACCCTCTGCTTGGCCTTGGCCTGGCGCGCGGCATGGGTGGGTCGCCGCAGCTGCTTGCCGAGGCTGGTGTCCACGCCGAGGTCGCGCCGTACACCTGGTTGCTTGGTGGGAGTGCCCAGGCTGTCCAGGATGCTGGCGACTTCCGCCTGGAGGTCCTTGTCCGAGGCCACCACTGCCGTCTTGACGGAGATGGGTATCGAGAGCCGCTTGAATCCATCGTGCACCAGCGCTGCCACGTACTTGATCTGGGCAATGACCTGCCGCCGCGCACCCTCTACCTGCAGGGCCAGGTCGTCCAGGTACTGCTGCATGACGACGAAGATGTAGTGCCTGTGCGCCGCATCCAGGATGCCATACAAGAGCGGTCTGGTGAGGTCGACCGCTTGGCCACAGCCGGCTACCATGCTGTTGGCAGGCTCGAAGATGTCCGAGAAGAGGCTGTGGGCCATGATGGCCATGGGCGCAAGGTACATCTGCACGGCCATTGCCAGCGGCAGCAACGGGTATTGGAGGTCGCTGGCCTTCTCGATCAGCTGGTCGAGGCCTATGTTGTCGTAGAAGTTTGCCGCGTCGTAGAAAACTCCTGCTGCATGAAAGCCCATCTCCGTGGTGGCTTCTGCCCTCATCAGTCTGTGCATTGCCACTCGTAGCGCTGAGGAGCCAGCTACTGCCGTGTCCCAGAAGCCCGCCGCTGCCTTGCTCCAGGTGGCTACTATGGGCCTCCTGGCTGCGCTCCAGATGCGGTACGGCATGGGCATGAGGCCGATGGGGCGCTCGCCGCCGATTCCTGGCTTCTTGCCCAGCAGCAGCTCCAGCACCAAGTATAATTGCCACGGCCACGCTGCCCGTTGCTCACAGCTGGTCAGGCACTGCACGAAGTCTTCCAGCCCCTGGGCGCCCATGGCCTTGAGCTCAGGAGCCCTCCACCAGTCCGCTCCTTGGCCAGCATTGCGCTTCAGGTGCTGGATGATGGAGCCGATGATGTCCTTGCTGATGGGCTCGAGGGCATTCTCTTGGGCCAAGGCAGCCTGCCTCAGCTTGGCCAGCGCCTCTTGGATCCTCTCGGCCTTCTGTGCATCTCGTGTCCACCTGCGTTGCCATGCCTCTTTGCGCAAGTCCACCAGCTGCTGCGGGTGGTTGATGACCTGGCCCTCGTGCTCAAGGATGTCCTCCAGGTGGCTGCGCTCCGCTGCCTTGGTGTAGGCGTGGGCCATCTTCGCACTGCCTGCCGTGGCGTCGTGCACCCAGTGGATGTACGCCTTCTTCACCGCCTTTGTGAGTAGCTTGGCCATGCTCTTTACCTCCTCTGCTACCCTTCTGATCGTCCCTGGGTCCACGAGCGCGCCCTCTGCTATCGAGTGCAGGTCTGTGAGGAGGGCCTGCTGCTGGTCCTTGGCTGCACCTTGCTGCTGTGCGAGCTGCCGTCTTGCGTTGATCTGCTGCTGCGTCTGGTGGCCGCTGTGGGTGCGGACCTGCAGCTCTCGGCGGCTACTCGGGCCACTGCCTGCTCCTGGAGCGTCATGAAGTTGTCCTCGAGCTGCTCCTTCTGGTGCTCGTTCGCCAATAACTTCTCGCATCAGCCTCCGCAGGTCAGCAAGCTCCCTCCAATGCATCATCTCCAACTCGTGCCTTCTCATCGGCTCCTCTCGCGCAAGACCTTGGAGAAAGCCTCGGCGTCGTGGTTCTGCATGTCTCCATGCTCGCTCGCAGAGGTCCCTGATGATGTGGCTGAGGCCGGCCTGCTGGCACCAACGCCTGAGCAGTCTCACCATGCCATTGTTGCCTCCGCCACCCAAGATGGTCTCCAGGAACGGCACACAGATCTGCATCCAGTTGCTGTTGTCCGTGGGGAGCTGCACCAGGTTATTCATCCAGATGGCCGCCCAGCGCTCCAAGTCGTCTCTCATGGCCACGTAGTCTTCCCGCTCCCGCTGGTACTGGTCATCATTCCAGAGGTCTGGTGGGGGCAGGCCCATATCACGTGGCTCCTCTGCCTCTGGGCCTGGCGGCGCATGGTTCTGACTCCCCAGGTGATCGGTACCCTCTGCCTCCAGAGTGCCAGCTGGCTGAGGAGGTGAGCAGTGCGTGTCACCTGGGGCAGTTTTACCAGATCCAGCTGCATGACGACGAACGGTCTGGCCGTAATCGATGCTGTCCTGCTGCCCCTCGATGTGCTGGTGGTACCCGTCGCAGTCCTCCTGATCTGCGATCTCCTGGCGATACTCCAAGTAGTCCTCCTCATCCTCGAAGGGGTCGTGGTCTTGGATGTCCATGGTGCTGCGTCCTGCTGGTGGGGGAAGGGCAGATCCAGCTGCGCGACGACGAACGGTCTGGCCGAACTCGAGGCTGTCCTGCTGCCCCTCGATGTGCTGGTGGTACCCGTCGCTGTTCTCCTGATCTGCGATCTCCTGGCGGTACTCCAAGTAGTCCTCCTCATCCTCGAAGGGGTCGTGATCTTAGATGTCCATGGTGCTGCGTCCTGCTGGTGGGGGAAGGGCACCCCTCTGCATCCCTTCTGTGCAGCTGTCTGCGCTGCTGTGGGTTGGTCCCACGTCGAGGTCTGGGACGCGTCCCGTGGCGGCGCACTTGGGGGACGGGAACCCCTGACCCATCTCAGAGCAGGGGCCAGCTGCCTTCCCATGGTCAGCTGCGCTCGCCTGTGTGGGGGATGGGTACCCCGAGAAGAGTGAGGGGGGGCCTACCTCTTTCTCTAGGCCGGGCCGCCTCGCCCTCATCTCTTGGAAAGCTGTACCCGTCTCAGAGGTCCAGGACGCGTCCTTTGGCGGCGATGCTGGGCTGAGGCAGGGACGCTCTGGGCTCTCTTGGGCTGGCCCCTCTGTGAGCTCCTGGACCTCAGCCTGAGGAGGGGAGACCTCCTCAAGTGCTGGCTGATTCGCGATGTCCTTGGTGCTGCTGCCGCCGCCTCCAGCTGCGCCTCCACTGCCTGCACGCCGCTGCTGCAGCTCGGGGGGGCCCTCGCCCCGCTCGGTGGGGGCGCGATCCACCGAGCTTCCTCCCGAGCTCTTCGATGGGCTCATGGCTGGTGCGGGAACCCCGTCATCGTGGCCTACCTGGCTGTCAGACATGACGGGGCCAAGCTCAGGCGCCGACGGGCCCTGTCCACCACCTGAGTCCTCATCGGGAAGTGCCTGGGTCTTGCCCTGGCGACTTGCTGCTGCCTCCTGCGCTCGGGCATCATGGTGCGAGAGCTGCCGCACCAAGGAGGAGATCTCCGCCCACCACGCGTGGATCTTCCTCTCGACCCCTGCCCATGGCGTAGAGGTGACGGTGTCCTTGATGCTCACGCTCTTGTAGATCGGGGGCCGGCTGTGCCCGAGATGTCGTCCACGCTCTTCCTCTGGGATGCCGATGCTCTCGCGCAGGTTCAGCTCGAGGGTGCCTGCGAAACGGTCGTACTGCTGCCCCAGGTCCAGCACGTCCCGCTCCATCATCTTGCCGACGACTGTGTGCTGCAAGTGCTGGGGCAACTCGTCGTAGGCGCGCACGCTGACCCGCTCGGAGGTGGCCTGCCACAGCTCGTCAGGGATGACGTGCTGGACCTCCTTGTCGTAGTACAGCTGCGGCACTGGCTCCATGTCATTCTCGTCCTGGTCGCATCCTGCCTCTGCCGACGCTTGCTGACGTCGGCGCATGGCCTCCTGGCCTCCGCGCGCCGCTCGTCTGCAAGCGGCTCTGGACTTCGGCATTTGCTCGTCTGTGACTGGCGGCTTTATGGCTGCTGGCCTGCGAAGTACCCTGCCCTTGAGCATGAGAGGTCGCCCCTTCAGCTTCAAGCGGATGCCGATGTGCGGCTTCCACGGCACGGTCCTGAGCAGCTCCAGTTGGTCGAAGTACGGCGCCAAGCCCTGCGAGATCAGCGCGAAGTCGATGCACCTGGCTTCACCTTCTGCTGGGAAACATGTGGGGGCGCCCTCCTCCGCCGCTGCTACCTGAGCATTCAGCACCCTGGGCCAAATGCTGTTGTTGAGCTCCGACGGCGTCATGTTGAAGTCCCCAAGCGCTGCCCAGGGCCCTCCCCAGACGGCCATCTTCTCCCGCAGGTCGCAGAGGATGTCGACGTTCCGCTCTCCAAAGCCCGTCCCACACTCAAGGTAGACGAAAGCTACTGCGAAACGAACCTTGTGCAGGTTGGAGATCACCACCGTGACGTCACTGCCGTCCTCGTGCAGGTAGTGCTCATCAAAACCCGCGATCCTGTCCTGGATGTCCAAGGATCCTCGCGCGATGGCACACGTGCCTCCTCGTGTGCCTTCTCCTTCTCCTGGCCGTGCCTTGGTCCAGTAGCTGTGCATGCCATTCCGCCTGAGCGCCGCTCTTGCCTTGCTTATCTGCGCAGGCTGGCGGAGGTGGTGCTCTGCGATGCCGATGATGTCCCTGTCCTTGGTGTTGTTGATCTCCATGAGGTAGCCCTGTGCCTGGGGGCCCCAGGTCGTGACGTTGAAGAAGTCGATGTGGTAAGGGCGGCGAGCCTTCTTCGCGCTCGCCTTGGGGCGGCTACCCTGCTGAGTGGTCACCTTGCCCTTCTGCGTCGACGACTGTCTCGGCACGCCTAGCCTGCGAGACCTTCTCTCGCGCCTCCTGGATGTGGGCCTCCACTCTGGCTCGGCGTTCTTCTGCTTTGTCAGGTTCTGCTGCGGCTGCTTCTGGTTGGGCAGCTGCTGCGGCGCCGGTGAGCGCAGCCGCGGCGACTGTCCCTGCTGCCTCAGTGCCAGTGGTGGCACCTCGCTGAGGAGCTGGGCTGGCGGCGCAGACTCGCTTGCCTGGTGGAGCTTCTGCTGCTGCTGGGTCTTGCACTCCGCTCTTTGACAGGCGCTTGGTGCGAGCCTGCTCGAGCTGGCGCAGCTGCTCCTGGTGCCTGGCCGTCTCTTCCTCCAGTAGTCGCAGGTGCTTCGCCGTCTCCTCCTCGTGCTCCTTGACCGTCTGGGCCATGCGCTCGCCCTTGGCCTTCGCTGCTCGCCAGACCTCCTTGTCGGGCTCGGACCACTTGTGGAAGTCGTCAGGCTCATGCTCGAACTGCTCCAGGAGGGCTGCCAGAGTTGGCTTCTCGGCTGCAGGTTCAGCTGGGGCCTCTTGCTTGCCGACTGTGGCCTTGAGCTTGTCGAACTCTTCTTCGGCTGCAATGGAGGCTTCCATGGCTTCACGAAGCTTGCGTTCACTCTCAGCCAAGTACTGCTGGGCACTCTCGACTTGCTCCCCAGCCGATCGTACTTTCTTCTGGAGTTTGTCCAAGCGTCGTGCTGCTGCTTCCACTGCCTTGAATCCGACGACTGGTTGGTCTGCTGGTGGCTTGGCTGCGGCGAGCTCAGGCCAGAGGGCCTCGTAGTGCTGCCTGGGCGGGTCGTCCTTGCTGAGCTTGCTGTAAGCTGCTGCGGCGGCAGCCTTGAAGTCGACAGTCTTGTCGTGAGGTAGTGGCTGGCGTTGGCCTCCTTGTCCTTTCCCGCCTGCACCACCACCTGGCTGCCAACCATTTGCCCAGCTGATCCTGGGCGAGGTTCCTCCTTGGGGCTGTGCTGCCAGCCACCCACCATCGTCGTCACGGAAGACATGACCGTCGGGGACGAGGCAGGCGAGGTTCTTGCCGCAGATGCAGAGGTCGCCCCTGCTGGTGATATTCCTGCAGTAACGCCATCTGCTGCACCCGTCACACACCACGTAGCTGTTGCGAGGAGGGCGACTGCCACTGCTGCTCCTCTTCCACGGGGGAACCCTCTGGCCATTCGGGGTCCCCGACCAGGCGCTGCCCGCCCCGCGTCCGCCGCCGCCACGCCCCATGGCTGCTGCGGTGCCGCGCGCGCGCCCGACGCCCGTCTGGGAACTGTCCTCGGTCCAGAGGTCTCCCTTCGGCCTGGAGGCTGGACAGCCCCCCAGGTCGTCATCTTGAGCCAAAATTGCTACGGGGAGGAGGAGGAGGAGGAGGAGGAGGAGGAGGAGGAGGAGGAGGAGGAGGAGGAGGAGGAGGAGGCGGGAGGAGGGGGAGGGCGGGGAGGGAGGCGGGAGGAGGCGGGAGGAGGCGGGAGGAGGGGGGAGGAGGAGGGAGGAGGAGGAGGAGGAGGAGGAGGCGGGAGGAGGAGGAGGAGGCGGGAGGAGGAGGAGGAGGAGGAGAGAGGGAGGAGGAGGAGGAGCGGGAGGAGGCGGGAGGAGGAGGAGGAGGAGGAGGAGGAGGAGGAGGAGAGGGGAGGAGGAGGAGGAGGGGGAGGAGGAGGAGGAGGAGGAGGAGAGGAGGAGGAGGAGGAGGAGGAGGAGGGCCCGCGGGGCGCTGCAGACCTGGCCTCGCCTTCGAGGGCAGGAGGGGGCTGTCGCCTCTTCCTCGGCGGGAGGGCGGCGGGAGGCCGGCGAAGGGGCGGCGGAGGTGAAGCCAGGCCGCCTTCGCCGGCGGAAGGCCGGCGGAAGGCGGCGTAGGCAGAAGATTCTCAAGCAGTGGCGAAGCGTCCTGGCTCGCCTATCGTGCTGGGCCTGTTTTCCACCACCACCACCATAGGTTGGAGGGGCGAATGAGGAGGAGGACGAGGAGGAGGAGGAGGAGGAGGAGGAGGAGGAGGAGGACGGAGAGGAGGAGGAGGAGGAGGACCCCCTCCCCCTCCAACTTATGGTGGTGGTGGTGGAAAACAAGCCCATCATATCGCCCCACCAAACAATGTTCTAAGAACCTTTTGTGGTTTCCACGAAAAGCTCTTAGAACATGTCTAGCGGAGTCCGTCTCGTTTTCACACATCGGGTTTGTGTTCTGAGAACATTGCTTTTGTTCTTAGAACAGTTTCGGGTTCTAAGACCATTTCGTGGTAGGACCATAGGAATGCCGGGACAGTCGGTCCCTGCTCAAGACTAGACGTCAGAGTGAGCTTTCGCCGAAGTGACCCTTGGTGCGGGCCCAGTGGGGTCCCCCGATCGCCGAACGCGATGCAGTAATTAGTGGCGCACTCGTGTTCGGTTCCGCCGCGGCCCCCCCCCAAAGCCGCGCACCAGAGGTCACTCTTACTCAGGGTCACTCTTGCGTGAGATGCGCCCCCAAGGGATGAAAACGTTTTTGGGGTTCAGGGCTTCTGGGAGGATCCGCCACACAAATCGGTTGTACGGCATCGTGCCGTGCTTCTGTCATCATCTTCGCCCGTCAGCTCTGCGACCACGAGCGGACCCTGCCCCTGCAGGGCCGTTCGACGCTGAGATATCGGACACCCTCGCTGGTGCTGATTTGGCCGCAGGCATGCTTCGGTTTATGATCCCCAGCTGGCGTTTCAGAAGTCTGACCTTCAGGCGGAAGGGTTAAGTCGGGCACGTCCCTCTACAGGATGAATGCTCAAGAATAGTATTACGAACTAGTCAGGGGGCGATGTTTTGACTATTGTTTGACCACTTGGGGGCATTATTTGAGTATTTGTTATTCTTCGTCCAACAGCCGCCTGCAGGAACACACGCCCGACCCAAGGGTAGGGTTCACATGCGGTTGTCCGTCAGCTCTCCCCGAGGGGGGTGCCGCGCCGCGGGTCTCCGCCGGGCGCCGCGCAGTTATAGTCCCTGGTCCCTGGCCGCCGTGCCCCGCCCTCGGCCGAGTCGTTCCAGAAGGGGCTTCGCCCTCAGAGGATCGAAGTAGCTGCCACCTCTTCTTCGCCGGAAGGCGGGCGCATCCAGCACGCAAGGGCCCCGCCCTCGCAAGGATCGAAGGGGCTGCCGCCTCTTCCTCGGCGGAAGGCGGGTGGAAGCAGAGCGGGGGGGGGCCGGCCCTGCCGGCGTTGAGACCAGCGGGGGCCAGGCCATCGGCAGCAAGAGATGCGCCCCCAGGAGGCTCGGCCACGCGCAGAGGCAGAGGGGGGAGGGAGGAGGCTCGAGCAGGAGCACCCCTGCTTCTCAGAAGGCGCGGGCCTCGTCTGCGGATGCGGGGCCCGCGCCTGCCAGGAAGCAGCCTCCTCCTCGGAGAAGCCTTCCCCCCCTCCCCTCCGGCCCCTATGGTGCGCCGCGCCGCCGGGAGACGGCAGGGCCGTTGGGCTCGTGGCCGCCGTGCCCCGCCCTCGGCCCTGTCCGAGGGGAGCGCCGCGCCGCGGGGGAGGAGGAGGAGGAGGAGGAGGAGGAGGAGGAGGAGGAGGAGGAGGAGGAGGAGGAGGAGGAGGAGGAGGAGGAGGAGGTGTCTCTCTCTGACGTTCCGCCTGTTCTGCGTGCTCTCCGGCAGCGGCGCCTCCCGGGTGCCCCCCGAGCGGCCCCCCAGCGGCTGCCGGGGAGCCGAGCTGGGCCCCGAAAGCTTTGGAGGCACCTCCACCGGGCGCCGCGCACAGACCCCCGCGCCCCGCGGAGGGGCGGGGGCCGAAGGAGCGGCCGTGCGGGAGGTCTCCTGGCGGCCGCAGGGCAGAGGAGGGCGAGCCGAGGCAAGGGTACGGTCGGACCGAGGTACGAGGTCGAGGTCGGCTCGGGGTAGGTATGCCCTAGAGTTCTGCTTGATGGTTGGGTGCTCTGGTGCGTCCTGGGGGAGAGAGCCCTCGAGAGTGACCCTATGGTTTGGGCTGCTTCGGCCGGCGGAGGGTCTCATGTTCTTGAGGGATGTTATTATGTCCCAGGTCCGAGCGTCGCTCTGTTTAAGGTGTTGTTTCGCCGATCGGCGCGGGCTCCCGCCTCCCCCCCCCCGTCATCCCCCCATATAGACTAGATCTTGGTTGCTTCTGGCGGCTGCTCTTGGCGACTGGCCAGGGCCCCCCCCCCTGCCCCTGCTTGCGCGACTGGTGAGAGCAGATCGACTAAGGTGATCGTTTTCTTATTCACTGGTTTGCCGATCGGCGCGGGCCCTCGCACCCCCTCTCCCCCCCCGCATTGAGTAGATCTTGGATGTTTGGGGCGCCTGTTTCGAGCAGGTGCAGCCTCCCCCATGGGACGCACTGTTCCAAACGGTCGCATTCAGCAGGGGTCTGGAGCCAGACCCCCCCCCCTCCCCCCTACCCCCTTCCGCCCAATGTCGAAGCGCCGAATAAGAAGACGCTCACAAGCACCGGTCCCGACCCAGAACCCCCCCCCTCCCAGACCCCTCGGAAACCAGCATGAAAACCCCGCTCCCGGGGGTCGTTGGCGTCCGAGGGGGGGGGGCTCTCGTCGCCACGGCTGCGCGCAGCTCGGAGAACACACGGGGGCACCTGGACCCGAGGCGTCCGGGGACCGACGCGCCCCGCTCGCCCTGCTCCGGCCCAGACCAGGCCCAGCGCGTGCGAAGGCCTCCCTCCTCGCACCTCCGTGGCCCACGCATCGCGAATCGGGCCCTGGATGGCCCCAGCCTGCTCAGGACCGTGCGGACTGGCTATCGGGGGCCTGTCGCCGACCCATCGGCGACGTATCGCTGATTCCAGGTCAACGTCTCACCCCTCCTTGAGCCAGTCCCTGAGACCCGACGTCGCGAAAAAAACTAATCTGTGAATTGTCTGAAGACTACTGACATGGATATTGAGATCGATTGTGAGATCGATAGTGTGATCGATAGTGGGATCGATCGTGAGGACGGTAGTAGGGTCGATCGTGAGACCGATAGTGAAGTCGATTCAGTGAGATCGATAGTGAGATCGATCGTGAGGTCGCTCGTGCGATCTATAGTGAGGTCGATTGTGAGATCGATAGTGAGATCGATTGTGAACTCGATTGTGAGATCGATAGAGAAGTGGGTAATGAGATCGATAATTAGACCGATCGATCAGGAGATCGACTAGGAACCCAGGAACCCCGGAACCCGGCCGCCCACCGAAATCGGCCTAGAATCAGTAACCGGGAACCGGGGAACCTGGAACCGGGGAACCCGGCGGCCCACCGAAATCGGCCGCCGAATTGCTTTCGCCAAAGCCTTCAAGCTCCGCTAGGACCCTTTCAGTGCAAGCACTGATTGGGAAGTCACGACTGGAACCCAAGACCTCATTTTTCTGCGGCGTTTCCAGAGCGGGATCGATCGGTGAGGGTCCCGGGTCCCGAGTCTGGGCGAGATCGCCAAGTGCGATAAGAATGCGACGCCAGGATTTCAGGGGTCCCTCCCTATCGTTCTCCCTCGATCCTCGACTTATCGGCCCACCGAAGTCGCGGAAGGCCAGCTCCTATCCCTCGACCCTGGCGACACGCCGGCGTCCACCCAGGAAGGGGGTATTCCGTGACACATGGAGGTGTCCATGATGCGGTGGTGCACCCGCCACGACCACGAACAGCCACCACGACCACGACGAGGAACAGCCACCACGACCGCGAACAGCCACCACGACCACGCGCAGCCACCGTGACCACGACCAGAAACAGCCACCACGACCACGATCAGGAACAGCCTTCGCGACCAGAAACAGCCATCACGACCACGTCCACGATCATCACGGCGACACGCTGGCGTCCACCCAGGAAGGGGGTATTTTCGTGACACATATGGGTGTCCATGATGTGGCGTTGCACCCGCCACGACCACGAACAGCAACCAAGACCACGACCAGAAACAGCCAACACGACCAGAAACAGCCACGACGACCACAACGAGCAACAGCCACCACGACCAGAAACATTGCCGCTAGGAGTAGCTTTTGCAGCATTCCCAACCGGCAACCCCGACAGTCAATCAGACCATTGATCTTCAACGTCGGCGGGCGGAGGCATATGCACCATGACCCGGGCAATGATTGTCACAGGCAGCCCCCCGAAGCACTGTGCATGAACCTCTCGCTGCGTCGGGCAACGCACTGCGATTCGCACCTCCGCCCCCACTTACCGACCTCCGGCCTCCGCCAACCCATCTCTCCGACCTCCAGCATCCGGCAGACGACGCGCTGCGGCGTATG